GGAAAGGCTTAAGATTTATTGCCTTTTCTAATTCTCTCATTCATTTATTCATTAACTCATAAAATATTTACTGAATACTGTCGTGTACGTTAGGGATATATAGAAAGGAAAATGTCTGTCTTTATGGAGTTTACAGATTTAGTGGGACATTAGCGTGAACCTCTGAAATGAATCTCTAAACCTTTGCTGATTTTCTGCTACGGATATCAATGCCCTAGCCACTGAGTCTGGTCTTAGCTTTTTATTGCAACATATTCTAATTGATCATTGACCTTAGAATTCTGAGGTTCATAGCTCTATCACATATGGGAGTCCTGGTGTAGCACAGTAGGATAATCACTGGACTGCTAACCACAAGGTCGGCGGTACATAGCTACCAGCTGCTCCTTGGAAAGCCTATAATCTGGTTAGTCAGAACTGACTTGATGATATTTAGCAACAACGAACATCAAATATAACACCTGCCAATTTTAAACATCCTCACTCTGGATTAAAACTTCTCTGTTCCCCTAAACACCATGCTTCCCAAACCAGCTTTTTCTTATGGCTATTCAGAGATGGCTCATGTTTCTAATGCTTCTTTCCTTGAATACTTTGGCATATATAAATGCTTCCAGCTTTCTCTTACTTGAGGACTTTGGATTTCCATTCAGTTTTATACATTCACTTATTCGGATCTTGCTAACTGTTACATGGTAAGCACCGGACTCTGAATTACATGTTTGAGCTTGCCATCCCATCTATGGTAGAAAAATGAAGCTTTCTTCTCCTTTGAAGATTTAAAGCCTCAGAACCCTATACAGGGTTGCTATGAGTCAGAACCGACCCGATGGTATGTAACAAAAACAGCAACAATCATTTCATGCCCCCAAATCATTAATTGCTTCTAATACTTATTTCTGAATCAGTTAACAGACACCAGTACAATGATCTAAACAGAGCACAACAGAATTCACTTATTTTTTTCATTGCTGTGTTTTCCAATATGTGACTATTTAAATTAAGTAATAATAAGAATTCAGTTTCTCCATTTTAGTAGCCACGTCTTAAGTGCTCAATAGTCACTTATGTGACTACCATATTGGACAGTATAGCTAGAAAACATTTCTATCCCTCCAGAAAGATTTAGTGCTGATCTGTAGAAAAGAATCCTCCAGTACACATTCCCTCTGGAGACATAAAAGAAATAGAAACAAAAACCAACAAAACTTTATTGACTCTATTTACCAAGCACATGATGACCTTTGTTTGTTGTTAGGGTTGTTACTTGATGTTGAATCAATTCTGATTCATGATGATCCAATGTGTACAGAGGAGAGTAGCCCCACAGGGTTTTCAAGGCTGTGTCCTTTTGGAAACAGTTTGCTAGTCCTGTCTTTCAAGGTCCCTCTTGTTGGCTTTCAATCACCAATTTTTTGGCTAGCAGCTGATCTCTTAGCCATTTATGCCACTCAGGGGCTCATGGTTGCTATCTATCAGCCTCCAAATCCCATAACCAGTACCAGAGCTTGACCCTAGTTACTACACGGTGTGGCACATTAGAAAGTCGGATGCATTTGAGAAAATCATATGTTTTCTCTTTCGCTCTTGTTGCTAGGTGTGTGGAGTCAGTTTGCCTTCATAGCAACCCTGTGTACAACAGAAGGGAACACTGCCCTCTCTGGTACCATTGTCACAATTGCTTTATGTTTGATCCCATTGTTGTAGCCACTGTGTCAATCCATCTCACTGAGGGCCTTCCTGTTCACTCAAGGCTTCAGATTTTCTTTTTAAGAGAATAAGGTGTTCCAGCTCTAAACCCATGTTTTCCCAATGCTTCGCGTGAAAAACTGGACCTTTTGGCCTTAATATTTGGAAATTTCCCAGTTCTCAAGGCTGTTCTGTTTCTTTCTTCTCCGTTTGAACTTAATGTCAACAACATAGGTCGTGAGAAAATTAACAAGTGGTTTCAAGTTCTTTTATGTCTTTATTATGGGGATAAAATTCACCACAAACAAGGATACTTAATATTCGGAGTCAGGAAGTTTAAGAAATTAGACCTCTCACTCCAGGTGCCTAGGTCCATAATCCTTGCAAAACTTTGAGAATTTTCTGAAGCAGATTATTTGTTGTTGTTAAGTGCCATCGAGTCGGTTCTGACTCATAGTGACTCTCTACAGGGTTTCAGAGGAGCAGCTGGTGGGTTTGAATTTAAAAAAATGGTTTTGTGTTATGAGAAAAGGAATTTATGCCATTGCATAATTTAAATTTACATTGTCATTTGAGACTAAATTAAAGTCTTTAGTACCAAATCAGCCTCAGAGTAATGCAGAAGATTGTGAGTTACTTGTAAAATCTTTTATTTGCTCTGATCATTCCATACCTTTATTTAACCCGAAAATTCTTGTAATGATGCCAAAATTCAGATCTCAGTTTAAACAAGCTCCTTTTCATAAAACCTTTCTTGGCTTCTTTCAATAAGAAGAAATCTGTATCTCTGTATCACTCTACTAGTATTTTGCTTATATCTAATTTTACAGAGGACTCCTGGTGTGGCACTGTAGGATAAGCACTGGACTGCTAACCACAAGGTTGGTTGGTGGTTCAAACCTACCAGCTCCTCCTTGAAAACTCTGTCTAGGGTCACTATGAGTCAAAACTGACTTGACGACACTTAACAGTATCAACAATTATATAGAAATTACCATAAGCCTTCAGAAACTCTCTTATTGGTGATTATGACCCATTTTTTCTTAAAGAAGAGCATGGCAAGAACAACACAATGCTTGGCACACGTAGTGTTCAGTTTTTGTGTAAAAGAATAACAACAATAATAAAATACCTTGGGGAAAATCTATTTCTTGGAGTGCCTGAGTTTGAGTCTCAAAAGAAACTTCATTTAGCCTAGCTCTCTTATCCCAAATAACAATGCTACAAAAGACAAATTTTTTGTCTTTTACAGTTAATATTTATGAGTGTTAGAAAACACAATTGTTATTATCATGAAAAATTATTTTGTTAATTAAAGCTATATTTGGCATATGAGCTTTGTAAAACACAGAATGCCTGCTATTTTAAAGCAAAACATGAATTTTATCATACAAGTATTTCTTTCATTGTTGTTGTTAAGTGCTGTTAAGTCAGTTCCAAGCCATAGCAACCCTGCGTAAGGTTTCTGAAGAGTGGCTGGTGGATTTGAATCACTGATCTAGTGTTTCAAACTGACTTTGCAATCCAGTACATTAACCTGCTGTGCCACACCATATCTCCTTTCTTTTATTAGTTGTTGTTAGGTGCCATCGAGTCAGTGCCGACTCATAGCGACCTTATGCACAGCAGAACAAAACACTGCCTGATCCTGGGCCAACCTCACTACTGTTGCTACACTTAAGTCCATCGATGCTCCTACTTGGCCAATCCATCTCATTGGGGGTCTTCCTCTTTTTCCCTGACCCACCACCTCACCAAACACATGATATCCGTCTCCAGCAACTGGTCCCTCCTGATAATATGTCTTAAGTATGAGAGACAAAGTTTGGCCATCCTGGCCTCCAAGGAGCACTCTGGTTGCATTTCTTC